TTCATAAACGTAATTTTGTAAATCAGCAACTCTTAATGGGTCAACCTGACAAAATACTAAAGTATCCCTGAAAACATAATATTTAAGAATGATATCACCAAATGATTTAGGATAATCATCGAACGCCTGAAATGCTAACAAATCATTTATCGGAATAATCATATCAAAAGTGACATCAACTTCTTCATTTGCTTTCTTGAAAACTTCTGAAGGGTCAAATATTTTACCACATACTGAGTTATCATATTTTTGAACATTATTATATAGCGAATGAACAAACTTTTTAACTTTCCTTTCTGATTTTGGTTTATATGTTGCAAATGCGAAAGATTCACGGGCGCAATCCATCTGAAGATAACCGACATCACCTCTTTCATTCTTTCTACTTCTAATTGTTTAAAGCTTTGATTTGATGATTTGTAACCAACGAATAAACGCATGCATTTAAAAGCGGCATCACATGTGAAAGCTTTATTTGAAACAAGAGTTACTTTAACTTTGCGTTTAATATATGTGTCACCTAATTGGTTCACATCATGAGCAGGGTTTGTAATTCTTAAATGAGTTTGTTTATCATCAAAATATGGAGCATCAGAGTCATAGCATGAACTTTCAAGTTCTCTATAATATCTTCTACCGTCATTCTTTGTGAATATTTCATTTATCTTTTCGAATGAATGAAATACATTTCCATTAATCGGTTTAGTGTTTGGCACCAAATAGTTAGTCGTCATTTATGATGAAATAAAAAAATCAAAATTAAAAGATGAAAATGAATTTTTAATTTTAATGAAATAATCAACTATGGCTGCAGGATTCTTTAAAAAGTTATGGGATAAAGTAAAAAGAGGAGCACATAAAGTTTGGGAAACAATGAAGAAAGGAGCAAATTGGATATTTAAGAATAAAGAAGCAATTAGTGACGTTGCAGAACAAATAGCACCTAATGTTCCGGTAAGGAAGTATTAAATAAAGGAGATAAAGTTTATCATCGACTACAACCGATATTAAGATAAAAATAATATTTATATTTTTCCACTACTTTCCTCCTATTTTATTAAGTATTCCTTCAGCAATTCCACCAACTGCGTTACCTGCTTGTGCTCCCATCGCTGGATTACCTGCTTTAGCACCTAATACTCCACCTATGATAGTTCCTGCCGTTTTCGCTACTGGTGCCAAAAAGTTTGCAATGGGTTTTATTACTTTCTGATGAACCCATCTTGCTGCTTTCTTAATTCCTTCCCATAATTTTTTAAAGAATCCTGCCGCCATTTCTGATTTAATATTAATTAAAAATTCATTTTCATCACTTATATTTTAATTTTTATTTTATGATAAATGAAACCGATTTTAAAAATAAATGAAACAGAGGAGGAGGAAAGTGAAAATGTTCAACAAAAAATAAACGTTGTTAAACCCATCACTGAAATAAAAATTTTTTCATCTGTTGAAGAATTTAATGACTATTATGCTAATAATAAAAAATTATTTGAAGAATTGACAACGTGTAAATTGAATAAAATGTTTAAAGTTTAGAGTCCAAGACCCAGAGGGTCATGGATTCAAAATTTCAAAAATAAAGGGGGTGGTTAGTTTGAAATCTATTCCTCAATCAAGAATCACCTCATTAATGAAAATTGATGATTTAACAAAAAGAATAGAAGAGATTGAAGAGCGAATAAATCAAATTATTGATTTCATAAATTCAAATAATCATTAGCTTCATTTATTTTTCATTCAAAAATGTAAGACATGAATTTTTAAAGTTTATTTTTTAAAAATTTTTTTATTTCATTATGGTAGTGAATCTTTCATTCATGAAAATAATTATTTCTAATTTCTTTTACTCTCCCATACATACTAGATTTAAAGAATTCAGAACATTTCCCATAATCTCCTAAATGTTTTCTTATCCCTAACGTGTGCCAGTTATTATATGAAACTGAATAAACTTTATCTTTATCTTTACACCTTTCATCACTTTCATCACTTCCAATATATTTATATCTCAGTTTTGATTTAGCATTTTCATATTCATTAGCGTTTAATAATTCACAGTCTTCCTTTTTAAATTGATGTTTAAGATATTCAGGATTTAATACTCTACGTTTATATGCTCCTAACTTAGTTCTAAAGGTTTTTCTACAAAATTTAGGAATTCCATCCTCTTTAATGTCATCAATGATTTCCATTTCATTATTTTCAATTTCTTCTTCTCGTTTATGAGGTCTTTGATTATGACTCCATTGATTCCATGAAATTAAATATTCTTTATCATTATATTTATACCTCATTAGCTTATTTTGGCTTTCATATTCATTTAATAATTCACAATCTTCATTTTTAAATTGAAGTTTAACCCATTCAGGATTTAAACGATGTTTAATTAATCGCGGAATATCTGACATCATCTATATATAGATTATTTTATAAAAGATAAAAAATAAATTATTTTAAAATTAATGTTAATTTTTTAAATGATGTGTTTAGTATATAATATTTATTACTAATTTATTTAATAATGTCGCGTTTTCTTACGAATTCATGACTTAAAAAAACGTAAGAAAAAATTTTATATCATCTATATATAGAAGATAAAAAAATATACCTCCATCTATATATAGACGTAACAAAAAAAGTCACACAACCCGCACTCTTATACTACTTGGCCAAATACAACTTATGATATTGTCTAAATATAGTGTATGAAAGTATCTTAAGATGGCACAATATTTTATGTATGTAATTTTCATGAATTAGAAATTTAATAATTTTAAAAACCATTTTCTTTTTTGTTTATTGAGTAAATCATTCATCAAGAATACTTAAACTTCCGATGAATTCTTATTGACTAAATTCTAATTTGAACATTACAATAATAGTAGTATATGTGAACGGGTTTAGTGACTTTTTTTGTTACGTCTATATATAGATGAAGGTATATTTTCACATCTTCTATATATATATGATATAAAATTTTTTTCTTACGTTTTTTAAGTCATGAATTCGTAAGAAAGTGTGACATTATTAAATAAATTAGTAATAAATATTTATTTATAAATCATTAAAATTAACATTAATTTTAAAATAATTTATTTTTTTATCTTTTATAAAAGAAGCTATATATAGATGATGACAGATATTCCGCGATTAATTAAACATTGTTTAAATCCTGAATGGGTTAAACTTCAATTTAAAAATGAAGATTGTGAATTATTAAATGAATATGAAAGCCAAAATAAGCTAATGAGGTATAAATATAATGATAAAGAATATTTAATTTCATGGAATCAATGGAGTCATAATCAAAGACCTCATAAACGAGAAGAAGAAATTGAAAATAATGAAATGGAAATCATTGATGACATTAAAGAGGATGGAATTCCTAAATTTTGTAGAAAAACCTTTAGAACTAAGTTAGGAGCATATAAACGTAGAGTATTAAATCCTGAATATCTTAAACATTTATTTAAAAAGGAAGACTGTGAATTATTAAACGTTAATGAATATGAAAATGCTAAATCAAAACTGAGATATAAATATATTGGAAGTGATGAAAGGTGTAAAGATAAAGATAAAGTTTATTCAGTTTCATATAATAACTGGCACACGTTAGGGATAAGAAAACATTTAGGAGATTATGGAAATGTTCTGAATTCTTTAAATCTAGTATGTACGAGAGAGTAAAAGAAATTAGAAATAATTATTTTCATGAATGAAAGATTCACTACCATAATGAAATAAAAAATAATTTTTTTAAAAAATAAACTTTAAAAATTCATGTCTTACATTTTTGAATAATTTATTTTTTAATTTGTATGAAATGAGCGTCAAAACTAACAATGTTAAAAAAATGGGATTCACAAATGAGGAAATAAAGGATATATTAGAGGAGGCAGGTTATGAAGTTAGTAAATATTATTTAAGAAATTGTCAAAAAATTCGCGGAGTTTTTAAATGAGTTTGATTATGATGGAAAAATGAATAAAGATGATGTTATAAATTTCTTATATCCCACATCTAAAGAAGAAAAACCTAAAGAACCTGATGTTTTCCCTGAATATTATGAAGAACGGATTAAAGATGATGAATATACGATGAAATTGAAAGAAAAGGAAAATAAGAATGAAATAGATAAGAATTAAGAGAATTGAAAATAATGAAAATGAAGTAGAGGGTTTAATGAATATCCCAGCTTCAGAATCAGAAGTTCAAAAATCTCATGAAGAAAGATATAAAAATTACTTTTTGGAATCAACACAAAATTTATTAGATGGTGATATTGACGAAACACTTTCAGAAGAAGGTACTAAATTTATTCATAAACATAAGTTACAATTTATTGACGATGGAGATTATCCATGTATATTACTTTCACCTCCTCTTGATTCTGAAAAATTCAAAAAAGCACTGAAAAATGTAACATATGCAACAAATACGATTAAGAAAGAAGACCATGATATTTACACAAATTATTATTTAAATAAATGTACAGGTGTTGATAAAGTTTTTGATTTGTTAGATAAAATATCAAAAGAAACAATTGGTACATATAAAATTTTATGCGATTGTGGTTTCATTATTGAAGATACCAATAATGTTTCATATGAAAGAACAGCACCGAAGGAAGACGAAGTTGAAAGGTCTATACCATTCGTTATTAAGAACATAAAAGATATGAAAACTTATAAACATTATATTTATTCATTTATTTCAGAAAAAATGGAAGCAACCCATAAAACATCATCTCATCATTTTATAGCTATTCATACATTCCTTTTCAAAGTTGTGAAATTAAATAAGACAGGAATTAGATTTAATGTATCAGGGTACGCATTCTTGAGTAAATTAAAATGTATTCGTCACGTCGCAGATGATAAAAATTTATGTGTTCTTAATTCATTTTATGGACTTTAGCCCTGGACTCTCTGAGTCTCGGACTTTAAAAAAAATAAACTTTATTTTTATTTATTTTTTAATTTTTTATTCTTACATAAATGAACAAAAACGGAACAGCTAAAATGAATGATAATCAAATTAGAGCAGAAGGTAGAAGGTTATTTAAACGCTTCTATAACATTCCTGATGGTGTTAATCCTAAAACTCGTAGAAGCTATTTAAATGAAGCAATAGATGCATATGAAGGGTTTGACATTTCATCAGAAAGTGAGAGGTTAGCAAGAATGTTAAACGTTAATATTGATTTTTATTATTGTGACCCTCAACCAGAAGACGTAGACATAAATAAGGTAGACTTTCCATTAGTGGAATCAATAATGATAGATCCAGAATTTGAAACAGTAAATATTTTATTAACACAGAGTCCATGTGGAAAACTTCACGCTGACAGAATTACAGACGTTGAAGCACTCACAGGATATAAAGTTTGCCCCTTTTGCAAAGAAGAAGTATATTCTATCCGTGATGATCCAGAAAGGAAAAACCAAAGAAGATTTTTAAAACATTGTGAGAAATGTAAAGAAAATAATGGAAGATTAATTCAAGACGTTCAATTGCAAAACACACAACAACCATATGCACCACATATCACGAAACAGAAGATATATCAATGGCTATTAGCACATAATTTGCAGGAATATTATAAACCAACAAGATATTATATTACTTTTGACTTCGAAACATTAGAGACTAAAGAAGAACTTCAACTTTCTGAATGTGCAACTTTGAACGCTTACTTAAAACCATTTATGGTATCATCAACTGTCAAAATAAAGCCGCAAAGCGGCGAGGTCGTAGACCGTGATAAAACATTTACGAGGAATTTTTGCTTAACTTCGAGTGATTCGTTCATCTCTGATTGGATTGAGTTTTTATTTTCAACCTGTTCATTAGTTGCTAAATCAAATATTGAACAATATGAAGAATTAATGAAGCCGCAAACGGACCAAACGGCGGGGACTTTGTCCCATACATTAAATGAGAAACAAAAGGAAGCAATGAAAGAGCTTTTAGATGAAGAATTAATAAAGTGAATATCATAGGTTTTAATTCGGGAAAGTTTGATTTAAATTTAATTCTTCGTGATTTAAACACTGCAAAATGGAAAATAAAATCAATGCTGGGTTCATCTTCTCAATTTAAGCAAATCATTGTAAAGAAAACAAACTGTCCATATGAATTAAGATTTATTGACATCAGAAATTATATAGCGGGTGGAACATTAGACCAATTCACTCAAGATTTCGGAAACAATAAATCACGTGTTAAATCCTTTTTCCCTTATCAATTCATCACATGGGAGAATTACGAAGAAGAATTATATAAAGTGGAACCATTCACTCAAGATTCATTTTATTCAGCATTAACTCAAGAAACTATATCCGATTCAGATTATCAAATATATCTCAATGATGCTAAAAATTTTGAGAATAGATTAGAATATTTTATTCATTATTGCAATAAAGACGTTGAAATTATGATTGACCCAATTGATAAAATTATTGAAGAAACATTTGTTTATAAAATTGACATGCTTCATAATCTTTCTTTATCATCGAATGCATCAATGATTCGTTACGCGTTAGCATATAAGAACTTCAATCCTAACGAAACATATCCAGAAGAAGAAAATGTGGAATCAAGTTTTGAATTAACAAAAAAGTATTGGAAATATAAAATTGATTCATATAAGAAACAAGATGAAAAAGCAGAAAGGATACTAAAAACAATGTTTCAATGAATGACTATCAATACTATCACGATTTAATCCTTTCATCTAAATGCAAAATGTGTGGTAAAGCGTTTACATATGCTAATAAACCAACATTGGATAGAATCGATAATGAAAAACCACATACCAAAGAAAATTGTCAGTTAATGTGTTGTTATTGCAATGTCGTAAAATCAAATAAAGATGAAGATGTTCAACGTTTAAGAATCAATTTAAGAAATTATGCATTAAAAAATAATTTACCAATGACTTTAGATTCAGTTGAAGCTTATCACATTCTCCGTAATGGAATTACTGGTGGTCTATCAAATGTTCAACATCGTGTTAATCTTAAAGGAATCACGCACATTAATAAACTTTCATATAATCCAGAAACTAAAACTGTATCAAATGAGGACACCACCAACATTATGACTCATTTCGTTGGTGTTGACTTTAATTCATTATATCCTTCATCATTTTCATCTAATCCTCATGATTTCATTCAATATACTGACCATAAAATGTATATGCCGGGAAGATTGAATGGTGTTATCATTTGTGATACAGCAACAAAGAAAGCAAAAGCACTGGGAATAATTAAAAGAAAAATACTTTATTCGTGGCTGAAGTAAAGGGTCACATTGATGAAAAATACATTAATGATTACATAAACTTTTTACCGATAATAAGAAACTTAGATATTATCACAGATGAAAAAACAATTGGCAGTTTTATGTATAATTACATGAAATCAAACAATCTACCAGTTGACCAGAAACAGAGGAAATTAACTCAGTTAGCATCAACACACAACCAATATCAACCATTTTCTTCTTATTATCTTTGGTATCTAATAGACAGATTTCATTTTATCATTGATGATATTCAATCAATTTTAACATTTACGAAAAACACTTGCTTTAATGAATTTGCGAACGAATTTATGAACGAAAGACAAAAGGCTGAATTAGAAGGAAATAAAGGAAAAAGTTTATTTTGCAAGATTTCACTTAATGGATCATATGGTTACGATGCAATGAATACACAAAATTACGCAAAGACTAAAATAATGAATGCACAGAAGGCACGCGTTGCATGTATGTCAAATAAGTTTAAAAACATAAGAGAAATAGGTGAAGATACGTATCAAGTGATGCTTAAAGATAGATTTTATAGATGTGATACATGTTTACAAGAGGCATTCTTCACTTTAGATAACGCAAAATACTGGTATTTGGTTTTCATTTATGATTTTATGTATAAATGCATGAATGTTAATCGTTTTCATTTCATTGAAGGTGATACTGATTCATCTTATTGGGCAATCGCTGGCGACCCAAATCTTCCTAACACTCAAGCATTTCAAGCAATTGTTACGATAAACAATTTTATGATAAAAACATTTACAAATTCGCACCTTTTGATTTCTTTGTTTTGATGAGAAATTTAAACCTAAATTAAAGAATAAAGCTGAAGAAAAAGCACATGAGAAGAAGTTATTGGGTTTAGCAATTGAGAAACAAGGCGATAACATGGTTGCTTTATGCCCCAAGTGTTATACATCATTCAACGGTTCAATTGATGGAAGTGATTTTAAAAAGATTGCACAAAAAATGAAAGGTGTTAGTTTACGACAAAATAAACAATTAACACCTAAAAATTATTTGGATATAATAAATGATAAAGTGATATTTGATGGTCAGAATATTAATTTACAACTTAAAAATGGTCAATGACTCGCTTAACAATTGGTAAGACTGCATTAACAGGAGCACACACTAAGGCTGTATGTTGTTGAAAAATGGATGTTGTATGCCATTTATTTAATAAAATGCCACAGAAGAGACAAAAGGAACCGTTAATGATGTTTTTGATACTATGATTCAAAGAGGTGGGCACCCTTAAAACATTTATTTTATTTTTATATAAATGGATAACTCAGATTTAGAAAATTTAATTGATGATTTAGTACTTAATCAAAAATTTCTTAATTATTATGATTTAAAAGCATATCTCCAAAAATATAATAATAATATAACGGGTGATGATATGGAATATTATTATCCATATTATAAAAATGAAATTTTGAAATATCATAATAAAATAATTTCTGAAATTAAAGACAAAATTAAAAATAATGAATATTCAAAGGGAAAAACTAAATCACAACTTAAACAATTGAAAGATTTCAAAAATAAAGTATTAACAGAAGAAGATATTGATGAATTATATAAATTATATAATCCTGAGCCGCAAAAGCAAAAGGAGCAAAAACAAAAGGTGCAAAACACCCAGGTCCTTCAGACCATAAATGATGCACAAGCTTTAATTTATGATTCATTAGTTAAACCATATTCAGCCCGACTTTTAAATGAAGATCAACTTTTGGAATTCATCCTTCAACATAAACTCGAAGCGGGAAAGTATATTAAACCTTTATATACAGCATATTTAAAACAAATGAATAGAATACATCCAGAATTAATGAAGAAGGAATGAATTCCAAAACTTCATCATCCAAAATCAAAGCAGATAAAATTAAACCACTTGCAACACCAAAACCTCTAACGACAGTACCTGCAACACCAAAACCTCCTCCTCCTTCAGTTAATCCTTCATCATTCACTTTATTATATCCATTTCAAACATTAAAGAAGCAAAAAGATTTTAAAAAGGATTTCAAGATATTAAATAAACCAATTGACCCGAAAATTCAACCGTTAAAGGAAAAAATTTAGTCCCTTCATTTGCTCCATATCCATATTCATACGAAATCGATCATCTGGAATATTCAAAAGGAAACGTTACTTATTTATTTGCCATTAACATTAACACTAGATATTTACATTGCATTCCGGTGAAAGGGAAGACAGAACAGGAAACAAGAAGAGCTATTCAATACTTACTAGATCATGAAAGAGTAGATAATATAAGGGGTGATGGTGATAAAGGATTTCAGGCAGCTATGACTCATTATTTCCCACAAATTAATTTTTACTTTTCATCCTCTCCATATACGTTTCATAATAAAATAGTTGATGCGGTAATGAGAACTCTTAGAGATGCGTTAGGGGTTAACGGTCAGATATACTGGGATGGAAATCATGACTCCATCATACAGCAGTTAGTATATTATTACAATAATACATGGCATAGAACAATAAACAGGAAACCGGTGGAAATGAAAAATGATATTTCAAAAGAATGGGAATATATTAGAAAGCAAATGGAAAGGTTAAATGATGTTAAACGTGAACAAATTAATTCGGGGCTCATGAATTTTAAACAAGGGATAAAGTTTTAATTCATCTCGATTATGGAAAAACTGATAAATCAATGACAAAAAGAAGACGAAGATTTGACACAATAGCTGAATTTGTTAGATATATTAACGGCAATGCATTAGTTGAGGTTAACAATAAATTAATAGAAATTCCGATTTATTTTATTACTCCATTATATTTAAATAATATTTAATTTTTTTATTTCGTAAGAAATGAGTGACAACGAAGCATCCAAGAGTCCAGACGATGAATAAAAAAGAAACTAAACAGAATTAAATCAAAAATATGCTATTACAAAAGAAGCCACAATGCGGTGGGGTTGAAAACGATCAAGAGAGGAAAGAAATAATCGAAAAATTAGAAACTTACCGTTCAATCCTTAAACTGAGTGAAGCAAAAATAAAAGAATTTAATAGAATAAATAAATTGGTTGGAAGAGATGAATTTAATAAAGATGAATTTTTAAACTCTATCCAAATTTAATTTTTATTCCTCTTTGACAACATCTCTCTTTCCATCATTACTGCATAACCACATTTTCTCAATTTTAGTGGTTTGTTATTTTTAACATGTTCTTGCATCATTTTTATCATTTCCTCCCTTGTTATGATTCGTGGTAAATTTTGAGCTTGTGGGGTATTCATTTATGATAAAAATAAAAATTTGTTATCACTTATTTTATCGTTAATGTTTTTAGGTTATTCAATAATTATTTATTTTTGAAGAACTGAAGGTGTCACTATGTCACTCAGTGTCACTCGGTTATTTAACTTCTCTGAAAAAATGAGACAACATGACATTTTGACAACATAGTGGGATTAATGAGGAAGGTAGTTATTATTTATTTTTGAAGAACTGAAGGTGTCACTATGTCACTCAGTGTCACTCGGTTATTTAACTTCTCTGAAAAAATGAGACAACATGACATTTTGACAACATAGTGGGATTAATGCAAAAATAAATTCAAATCATACTTTATAAAGCTTCATTTACAGGTATTTCATCATCAGTAAATGATTCCTCATTATCGTTTGGTTCAACCTGTTTATATAATCCTTTCATTTCTTCTTTCAAAACATAATACCATGTCTGTTTACCATCTATTCTTCTCTGTTTCTTATCACATTTATCCTTAATACTCATTTGAAAATTCTTGTCTTTCATGTCTGATGGTTTGCAGAATAGAGCATTTTTACATGTCATACCTACACACAATTCATCATAATGTGTATTTATCCATACATCTAAAGGATTTGATGATAATTCAATTAAATCTTGTTTGGCTTCAGTCATCGGTATGATTCGTACATTAAATGATGAAAGGTCATATTGCATAAAATATGTTAAAAGGTTATCATAAAATTCCTTTGTGCATGAATCCATCAAATTCTTGAAGTAATCAAATTGACCCTTAAATTTACCATTAACTCTTAAAACCACATATCTTCTGTCTCCAACTTCAATTTTGACAGGGTAGACGTTGTTAGTTACGAAAACAAAGTTTGCAACATTCTGAGCAGTTCTTCTGGGTTGATTCTTTTCATTAATTCTAATCTCATTATCCGTTATAATTGATTTCAAAGCGTTGAAGTTTGCGAGTCTGTCTTCACCTACATTCTTGAGTTCATTAAGTACAAGAAACATTTTATTCTCAACTACTGAGTTGAAATAACCCGTTAGCTCACTTATTTCAGTAATGTTTTTACATGAATAACCAGCGAGAAGTTCAGAAATAATGTCTGTAAATCTGTTTTTACCTGTTCCCTGAAGTCCTTTCAAAATAATTGCTGTTTCATTCTTGATTCCAGGATGTTGAATCATTGATGCAATCCAGCCGAAATATTTATACACTTCATCGTTATTATCACAAATGGCTTCTTTAATGAAATTCATAAACATCTCAATTTTTGAGTAATCAGGCTTTTCAAGAATGTTGTATTTATAACCCTGAAACGTTGAGAAAACATCTGGGGAATCAGATTTAAAGCAAACACCCTTAACGGTTAATGAAGACAATTGATTTAGTAGTACATCCCATGCTGTTATGGTTTTACCTTCTTCTTTAAATAATTTAATCATTTTGAGTGACTCTTTCATGTTTGATTGAAGAACGAATGATATTTGATTCATTTTGTCGTGTATGTTGTAATCTTTTTGAATGAAATATTTGTTTCCACAATCTACAAAACGGATTACACGTGATAAATCCTCAATTACTTCAGAACTGTTTTTATACTGATGATTTTCAGCCTTGCGTCTAATATCTGTTATCAAAAACGAGTCATCAAGTTTGATATCAAATGTTATTTTTGGCTTACGTAATAAAGGCAAAACATATTCATCATAATATTCCTTTTGATATAGTTTTAGAATCTTCACCAAAACAAATGGAGAAGTCATTAAATGTGCATATCTACTACGTGCTTTTTCAAAATTACTTTTTGCATTTTCTGTTAAATTGCAGAAGTTATAAACGTTGTCGTATGCTTCATTAATTAAATGATTAGGTAACGAATTAATTGCTTGAAACAGTGTGAATAATGTAACTTCTTTTTCTAAATTCATATTTCCACCGTCATTATGTACTTCAAAATCACTAATACCATCAACTATGCTCTGGGCAAGTTTATCGTCAATGTTTACATTTTTGTTTTCATTCATGATAGTCTTTATTTCTTCGTTCTTCTGTTCAACTCTTACCTTAATATTCAAATCATTTAATATATCATTCACTGTTCTGGTTAATGTTGAATCATAACTTCCACGAATGAATGAGTATGTATTGATTGGTTCTGTTGCATTCTTGCGAACTCTTGAATCAGCCATAACCACTAAAGAACGCTTTGAATCATCAATAGAAGTCATGATATCAATATCATAATCATTGCAGGAATAGCATTTAATCATTCTGTTCGAGGTTGAATAGAAGAAATTAGTGTTGCAATAAATGTGAAGACCTCCTGAAGCGGTTTTAACGATAACATCTTTATCCGAAAGTTTTGATAAAATGTCTTTTCTAACTGTTTCTTTAAGTTCATCATTGTACGATTTATTGATATCAACATCTATAATCGTTAAATTTGATATTTTATTTACTAATAAAGCCATACCAGTTTTCCTTCCTCTTCCTCCATCGTGTTTGAGGTAGTTATGTAAATCAATCATGTTTTCACCAATTCTTTCGTTGAGGGTTTTAGTTTCTGCCACAACTAATTCCTCAGCTAATTCCTCAACTAATGAATCAATAACTTTTTCATCAGAAACGATATAGTTGCTGTTGTTGTTTGTTGTTGTCATTTATATAGGAATAAAAAAAATAAAAATAATTTTAAAACTAACTTTATTTTTGGGCTGCATCATATTTCCAGTGATGTTGTCAAAATGTCATGTTGTCTCATTTTTTCAGAGAAGTTAAATAACCGAGTGACACTGAGTGACATAGTGACACCTTCAGTTCTTCAAAAATAATTAATTATTGAATAACCTAAAAACATTAACGTAAACATTAACAATAACACATATTTCCAGTGATGTTGTCAAAATGTCATGTTGTCTCATTTTTTCAGAGAAGTTAAATAACCGAGTGACACTGAGTGACATAGTGACACCTTCAGTTCTTCAAAAATAATTAATTATTGAATAACCTAAAAACATTAACGTAAACATTAACGTAAACATTTATTTCTGCAGTTCATCCACTACTTCATTACCTAATTAATTACAGACATAAAATATATTTAGTTCATTCAATAAATGCGGTACCATGCGTAAACTGTCATAAATGGTGGCATGTATTCTTTACTTTGTCCCGTTGTTTGTGTATATCCTGAAACGTGATGTGTATGGTTTCCTTCTCCCTGAGTGTCGCTCCAGTAACAATTTATGGCAAACTTAACGTCATCTTTAACATCATATCCTTTACCTTTTGTCATTCCTGACCAATCCCAATATCTATGCTTATGCCAACCTGCTTGAGATGTGCTTAAATCTATGTAGTGACTGTGTGCAGGTAAATTTTCACCTGTAATCGTTTTACTTCCACCTATTTCCTTTGAAGAGTTTGCACAATACAAAAACCTGTCGACTATTTGTTCCCATGCACCAACACCAAGTACTACTTCTGGTCTGGTAGAGTTCATTGAAACATATAATGAGCCAACCGGGTAAATAAGATTCGGCAAAATTTGTTTAAGCACATTGAGTTCCTGTCTTAGATGCATAATACTATTGTCATTAGATATCAAAGTATCTACTAGACTTGTTGCCGGTGGTATTGTTGGACCTTTACTTGGCAAGGTTGTGTTTAGTGTAATATCATCTGCTGTAAAAGTTGTAAAACTTGTATGTGTATGAGTCTTATCTGCCTTCTTCATTAACTCACTGTTGACATATTCCTTATCTGCCTTCTTCATTAATTCACTGTTGACATATTCCTTATCCGCTTTAAGGTCTAAACATCCTGAAACCCATCCTGTATCAGCTTTAGTTTTTAAAATCTTTGATGTCCATTCATGATACCATCCAACCATTTCTTTAATTTCATTATCTTTTTCATTGACATATTCCTTATCTGCCTTCTTCATTAATGCACTAGCCACAAGTCCCTTATCTGCTTTCTCCTCTAACTCACTAACCACATATTCCTTATCTGCTTTCTTCATTAATTCACTGTTGACATATTCCTTATCTGCCTTCTCCTCTAACTCACTAACCACATATTCCTTATCTGCTTTCTTCATTAATTCACTTACCACATATTCCTTATCTGCCTTCTTCATTATGTCATTTAGGAAACCTTTTATGAATTCCTCATTTAAATTAAATCTTCCAATCTTCAAAACTTTAGGAAATGCATTTAATGCGTAATATCTTTGTTCTTCTGGTGGAATTGATGTTATATCATCCGTTATTCCTTTAATTTTTGAATTCATAAATAAAATTTCTTTTATATTTGATATCACTGCACCACCTTGCAAACGAATTCGAAATGGTCATTTTTCAATACTATCTCCAAATCTCCATATTTCAACCTTTGCGTTTGTTCTGCCGTCTTTGAATTATATGCATATGGCGTATGTAATGGTCTGTGCCTTAAGTTGCTGTGGTTGCTGTTGTTTAATCATTTATTATGATTTAAAATAAATATTTAATCCGTTATCTCATCAGCTATTTTCTATTTGAAATTGCCATAATATTTCATTCATGAATTCTAAATCACAATCAAATAGGTCGGTTATTCTAAATTTAATATTTGATAAATCTTTTGAATGAAGAATAAATGAATTCCCGGATAATTGAAACGGATATGATAAAGAAAATATGTTTAAGTTGATGGATAAAATGTTTTGTATTGATGGTAAGAGTTAGGGTCTAATGTTTGATGTGAAAATCTCATTGGGGTATTAACTTTATCACATTTGATTAAAATGAAATTGGAACCAGTGTCAGAATACAAAACATCCCCAACATCTTTTTCAAAATTTAATATCCCCAACAATGAACGAAGATGAGGAGTACAAAATTTAATTTTCAGCGGAAATTTAATAAGGTTATTTATTTCATCAAGTTCAAAAAGTTTATCAGGTTTTGATTTAAAATTTTCTTCATACCATATGATAAATGATTCGTTTAAATAACTTAAAATCGTGTTAATATCCCATTTCGTTATCACATTATTTATATGCATATCATACGTTTTTTCTTGGTCATCTTTAATAAATGATATATAATCTGAAGGGTCTAAAAGAATGGGATTAAATTTACCACTCACAGAAACGAGAGTAACATTATAAATTCCACTAACTGTTAAATTTAATTCACAGTTATTATTCGAAATAATATTGATAATTGACATTTTTATTACGATTAAAAATATGGTAAAGCGTTATTTTCCAGTGATAAATAAAACTAGAATAAGATTACCTCAAGAATTCATAAATTCAACGAATAAGAAATTCATTCATGTTATAAATTTTAGTGTTTTCAGAAAATATGAGTCAATGTCATATTCATCATCGGGTTATATTTCACTTCATTCAAATTTAGTTCAATCAAACCCATATAATGACCATTTCATAAGATTTTCAGATGGTATTAAAAATGTAATTGATAGATTAAAATATGAACAGATTGACAATATCGAATTTTTTGGAATTTTGGTTTAAATATCCCGATGGAAAAAAGATTGAAGTTAAAGATAAAGCTGATACTATAACAAAAACAATTACAATGACCGATCCAGATAGTGGGGAACAAAAAGAAATAAAACAAACGATAGAAACTGGTGAAAGGTCAATTATTATTGATTATGATTCAAAGGATTATTATTCGATAATGTTAATGCTTGAATATTAAATGGCCTTAACAAAGAATTTTTCAAGTGATATTTTATATTCATCAACTATTTTATTATAAATATCATTATAAGTTAAATGAAGTTCAGTTGTTGTTCCATTCTTTGATATCTTAATTTGTGCTAATATCCTTTATAGGATTTATTTTTGCAACTGTTCCGCAGCATGAAACCTCATCATCTATGAAAAATTGAATCTTAACGTCTGAATCTTGAACATCACAAAGAATGGCGATAATGTGAATTAATGATTCATAAGGTAAAATAATTAAACCGGATTGATCAATTAAATTTATTATTGAATCATAATTATCAGTTATTATATCACGGTAAATTTTCATTAATTCAGAATTAATGTCTATTTTATATGGCGCATTGCGACTGGAATCGTAGATTCCTGGGTTCTCGATGTTTATGAAAGAGGTGGGGGGTATGTTGGATATGTGGGGATTTCAACGGGTTCTTTACCGGGTTCAGATAAAATGATTGGGTCTCCATTCTCATGGTTTTCTTCATTCTCCTCATTCTTCGGTAAGTCACGAGTTAATAAATTTGGTTGAGTTGCTGACCTTGTTAATTCAGGACTAACATTAACTTTAACATTTTGAATAATTCGTGATTTATCATCATTTACGTTATAACCAACCGTAATCTCTGCTTTTGCGTTTGTGTTCTTTTGACTTGTGAAACGTCTTCTCATTTATAATTGAATAAAAAAAGAAAAATATATTTAAAGTTTTATTTAGTTGTTACGGTAATATCCCAAGGTTCATCATTGTTTGCTTATACTTTCTTTGTAACTGCACCAATTATGTTATTAATATTGCTTTGAGTTTCTTCCAGTCTTATTTTATCATTTACAATATCTTTAATCATTTCATTACATGCATTCTTAAAACCATCTGATTTTTCTAATTTACGTCTATCACTTTCTTTAATTAAATCAAAGTTATAACCTTGTTGAGAATAAAGTGGTTTCTTTATCAATTCCTTGAACGCTTCTGAAAGTGAAGATGAAGAAATTCTTGCCACTTGAATTGGTTTAAATTCTGCTTTCATTGCTTCTTTCTGTTCATTGAACACTGGATCGAATAAAGCAACTTTAAAGAATTTCTTAGCTGGAATTTCAGGTCTCAAATTTGCATATTGACCATCAAACTGATTAACATATCGTGGTAATCCATCCGGTCCTTCTTCAATAGCATTTAATTCTTCATTGAAATAAGAATATGGATTATGACGGTATGAATTAATTGGACCATGTTCACCTTCTCCAATGTATTGTTTAACAGCTTTTCCATTTTCATCAAATTGCATAGGATAACGTTCATTATATGCTTTACGTTTAGGATAATCAGATACAGTTAATTTATACCCATTTATGACTTTAATATTACCTTGACCATCAGTAACGAAAACTTCATTTATACCATCAGGTTTTCCATTTGGACCCGTAATGTCTGCTTCGTGTGCTTCCCAATTTGGTCCATGACGTTTGGCATATGCTTGAGCTTCTGGTAATGTTAAAACGTTTCTCATTTGTTTAACATCTTTTTGAAGACCGGCAACAATGTGGACTAATTCTTTCATTCCGTCTGGAACTTTCATAGTTCTATTATATGCACCCCCCTTTTTGTTTGTCCCTTGTTTTAATGGAACCTGTAGAAGATTTGCTATTTCAGTCATGTTTAATTATAAATAAAAAATAAAAATTAATTATAAAAAGTTAATCAAATTTAACACATCCTTTATTTAAATCAACTATTATTTTTCCATGTTCACCTAATTGCTGATATTGTGTGTAAAGTTCATT